TTACTCGCCTGTGCTCAATAATGTTTTCATGACTGTTTTAGACCCGCACTCCGGGAGTCTCGGGGGATGTTTGTGCATGACATCACCCTCCCCCTCCCGTAAATCAGGCACTGGGCCGTGCATAGCCATGACCCATTCATGACAGGGATAAAATCCAGATGTTCCAGGGCTACGTGCAGCTGGGTCATTTCCTTTTTTGGCTAAAAACGTGAGGCTCTTGAGGCTGACTGAAAGAGGAGCCCGGGGGCCCTTGGTACAGAAACCTTTTGTGGTTAATCCCTGGAAACAGCGCTGCAGCAACAAGGGTTTGTGGTGCTCCCGCCGGAGGACAGGCTCAGCGGGAAGCCTCCCAGGCTGGAGCCGCTCACTCACCCTTCGAGGCCGAGCAGCAGCAAAAGCAGAGCCCGGCGCAGGTCACAGGGCAGCCGCAGCAACAAAACCCCTTACTTTAAAACACCCGTTAGCTGCCAGAGCAGGAGCCCTCGAAGGAACCAGGAACGCGGACGCAGAGAGCCAGCGCCGTGGTCCCACGCGTGCCGCCAGCGCAGCACCCACGGGAGCCGAGCCACCGCGCAGGGAATGAGCGGGGGGCCGGGGCCCGGGGCAGGCAAGCCCAGAGGAAGTCATAGCAGCTGTGAGTAAATGTAAGGGAATCTGTGGAAAATAGTTTCAGATGTTAGTGGAATAAACGGCTCCCCAGCTGAGAGGAGTGAGCAATGAGCGTGCACAGCTCCGGGGAAGGCTGCCAGGAGGAGACCACCCTTACCCCGACTGGCAACTACAGCACCTTCCCCACCAAACCTCCTCCCGAGCGCCTGCGCGTGCGGACTGGGAGCACGTATCGCGGGGGGAGGGAAGCGGGGTCTGTGCAGCGGGGTACGATTTGGTACCGCTGCCATCCAGACCAGCTCCCGCAGCAGCGCAGCATCCTGGCTGCTGCCGAGCTCAACCCGACAGCCAGCCCAGAGGCATCGCGCCCGCGCAGCACCCGCACCGGCCGAGTCCTGCTCGGGCCCGTCCTGCAGAACAGCCTGCCCGGACAGACAGCAGGCACAGACAGACAGGCAGCCCCACAGCAGGAAGGAGGAGCTGCTGTTCCTCTGCCATAACCCATGGGGCTGGTATCGCTGACGCTGGGCATGTGGTCTGGGGAGGTACGAGCACTGGGGGGACCAGCCGTGCCCAGTACGGGGTGAGGACAAGGCTGAGCACACAGCCTGTGCCTGCTGTTCGAGAAACACGTGAGAGCAAGCATCGCTAGAACCGTTTATTATATAAAGCTGTAGGAAATACACAGGAGGCTGAGGTTTAGGACGCTTCCCTCTACAGACTGCTCCAAGCGCCTCAGAATAGCAAACACACAAACTCTGATTTGCCTGCATCAAAGCTTTCAAACAAGGGTTCAACGAGGATCTGAATACAGCATTAATAACACTTCAACATGCATAACATTTTCCGTTCCTA